CCCCCCTTAATTGTGAAGTCTTTTCGCGTGTATAGCATTCACGACATTATCATAATTATAGAATGTATTGATATGATACATGTATCAGCACGCCGATCTATATACGCGAATGCAATAAGAAAATGGACGTCACACAGTGACCAACTTTAAAAAATCTACCTAAGTCCTCACAGATTTATCATTTTGATATGTAGCAGTTTGTCACGTGCTGTCGTCATATGTATCATAAATCATCAACTACCTGTTTCAGAAAGGTGTAATGATCACACCTACTGACGGAAAGTTAGGTATAGGGTCACGGTCGTGACCGTGACGTAGGTTGTGTTTCTGATGCATGACTAAGTAAAGCTGTGTGTACGTACATGGGATGTCCCCGAATTATTTGCATCATTTACAGAACACACGACACCAGTAACCGGAAATTTAGTACAAATGTATAAACACAATTGAACTAAGGCCTATGTACTAAACCCCTAGTCTCCCGGCCCGGTACCAGCTGATCCAAAGTATAATTCCTAGTCGGACGCTCTACCACTGAGCTAAAGGGAAATTCCCTCTAGCTCGATGCTAGAAGGCGACCTTAATCCTAATTACAATTAAAATCTGCCATAATTAAATTGTTTACCAATATTTGATGTTTTTAGTAAAGTACGTACTAGCCAGTTTAAAGAATTTGGTACTGCATGGGAGTGACTAATATACATTATAGTTATGTAAATAATTTGACAAATATTTATATTTTCTGACAATTAACAAATACTAGGGTTTTGAAAGTAAGTGCTAAAGCTATAAAAGACCTGTCAAGCAGTACATTTTAGTGGTTAAACATATAAAAACAGGAAACGATAAACATTTTTAAATGTAACTTTTGAAGATTTAATGCGTCATGACCAACTTTTAAATTAGTTCAACAAAAATTTCATCCCTGTGAAATGGTGATATATTCGGCAAAACATAATCAGATTGCTAAAAATAGTGGCTTACTATCACATTCATTTGTAATTTCAACAATTTTCCGGACTTTTAATTTTCACCCCTCATATCTTCAACATGAGTTCATCGTTTTAATTTTATTTCAGTTATTGACCTTTGATTTGAAATGGAGCCCTGTCCCAGCATTCAGTCTATGCAGTCTATCCAGTCAACAGCCTCGTCTTCAGTTCTAGTGCCAGACGTCATGCACCAACACAAAAATGGCAACGTTTCTCAAAGAGATGTTGAAGGCGCGCGCGTGCCGGACAATGCCATGTCCACTCCAAGGCGCGTGCTTCTCCTGGCCTCATCAGCCGTTGTCTTCCTCCTTGTCCTTCTGACCAGTTTGGTCGTTATCTTGTTCATGCAGGTGACTAATCTCAGGAACACTCTCAATTCGGAAATTTACGCGCATTCCAAGGACTTTGGAGAAGTGTGCCTACCTTGTGGTGAGCTCCAAATGGGTCCATTTGAAGAGGATACTCCGGATCTAGTTTTACTGGAAAAGGTCCGATCAGATGAAGGCGACATTTGCTGCGCCAAGTCACCAAACCAAACCAAGATTTTATTTGAACTGGTGAGTTGTCTGTTAGGAGTATTTAAGGGATCCCAAGTAAAACCAAACTGAAAAGGCTAGGGGTTTTGTTTTGCCGAACGAACATCATGGGTTTCTGACCCAGGCCTGTGTTGATATGAAACGACCTTTCCACGCATACCAAAACATATAAGGAAAGTTTTTTGATCCAATTTCGTTTTCATAAATTCGGAAAACTGGAATTTTCTTTATAATTCGCATAACTGAATATTATGAATATCTTTATAAGCTTATTGGTCCCGGTATTGCGGAGTTAACAAATATACTATGATAGAGTATCTACATGACTTCAGTGATATACACTTATACAGCGCAGCATCGTGATTTCTATACTACTGATGGGAATTTCCTTCCCTTGTGCAATGCTCCCCAGATTGGGGATTGTATGTTCTGGAAAACGGGATGTTTCGAGATACCGGAGCATTTATTTACCAAACATTGGATGGAGTGCTTAGTTACACTTGCTGGTTACTTTGAATATCTACAACAATTGTTTCAGATGCTTGACCTATATTTAAATGTAGCGTCTATAAATCTCCACTTATCTTAATGCAGTAAGGCGTATATCGATAGGACGGGACATTACGATATAGACCAGTGCCCTACATATCGGTCAAATGACATCCTTAACAGATTGCCTTTCTATTTCTACAGCTGTACCAGAAAAAGAAGATGCAGGAATACCGACATGGTAGGTCATTCACCCTTTCCCTATCGCACCGTAGTTTAAACTCTCTTGTTATATCTCACCTTTAGGAAATTGTGGCCTTTTCATATAATGTATACCCAGGATATTAGCTGTAATTCCATACCGTACATATTAATTTGCTTTGTGCTAGTAGCGGCCGACCAGTTAATCAGCCATACACAAAAGATAGAAAGTCAATCATCCCTATTATTTGAGATTATAAATGTTCGATTGTCTAAATAGGTTCTTAAGTAAAACATCTCAACATACAATTTCCTGGATATTTTTATCATCCATTTCATCATTTATTGGCAAATCGTAAAATCGTGTAGTCGTTTGTAAAATAAAGTTTGTTTTAACAGGTTATTATGAATAGCTTTCGTTATAAGCTGACTGTAAGTGTGTTTGTTGTAACGGTGTAAGTTGCTTGTTTATCAGATATGCTGAAGTCGGAGCACCATGTGGACAGTGCCCCCAAAATTAACACCGTATCGGCACATCTTCTGGTCAGTGGAGTCCAGCCTCCGGTTGCGGACAAATGTAAGATAACCAGATTCAGATCACCATACCCAATCTATTTCACCAATCCCTACTCAATTAATATCACCCTTACCACCTAGTCAACGAACCACATCCCACCCACGCCCTCACCACCCCCACCCCAGGGCCAAATCACCCTATCTACTACGTCTCATCACCCAGATCACCCTGCCCACCCTATCTACTACGTCTCATCACCCAGATACCCTGCCCACCCTATCACCGAACCTAAGCTGGGGTTACATCTTAACCGTCATCGAATCCAACCCCAACCCGACCACCGTCCGTTCTCGTTCCGTCACATTACCGAGCCCCACCCCTCCATGAAATCAACACCCGACCCGATCACCCAACACTAAACCCAAGGTGCATCAGCGTACAGTGGATCACAAACCACCCAGGCGGGAGGTAGTCGCCAAGTTAGANGGGGGGGCAATTAAGACACCAAATTAAATGAGATTAGTCGATTATTTTGGCATTTCTAGAAAGGTTTTATAGAAAACATTAGACGGAATTATCGACACATTGTTCAACGAAAGAAAGAAAAAGACAGCAGTCTTCGGAATTTTGTTGCTATCTTGATGCGGCATCACTGAAAGTGTTTAGTTTAGAGAACCCAAAACCGCAATGTTTGGCTTCGTTTCAAGTTTCACGTCTATATTTGCTTTAAACGTTCTTGTCGAACTTGCAGGTCCAAAAAATGTACATATTTTGTAAAACTGCTGTGTAACATGTTTTAATTTGAAAACAAACAAACGTGTACACAAACTCGTCCACCAGTGTTTGTTTGCTGCCCCCCCC